TTAATTAAATTTTTATTATATAATGAGTGAGCAAGTTGAACAAATTACAAAAGAGCCAGAAGTTGTTAAAAAAATAAAAGATCCTAAGAAGGTGGCTGCTGGTAAAAGGCTAGCCGAGTATCATAAGAAGGCAAAGAATGCATTGCAGAAGGAAAAAACACAAAAGTCTTGGATGCCTGAAATATCTCTCACAATGGTTATATCTATTGTGGGCACGACAATAGCAGCTGCCGATTTATACTACCGATGGAAATCATCTAAAAGCGGCCCGAGAACTTCTATGCCAGAAGAAATAGAAGAACCTGAGGAAATAGAGGTAGAAGAGCCTAAAAAGAAATCTAAAAGAAAAATCGGTATGGAATAAGATGATACTATACATTGAAGAAACTAAGCCGGAATTTACAATATATTTAGATCCGCCTGTGCATAATCCAGAAACTATTTCTTTGAACAGCGCCCGCATTGGAATTCCAGACAAGATGGAATTTCCTCCACAAGCAATTCACATCTATTGTGATTTAATAGCTAGTGAAGATGTTCTTTTAAATTCAAAAAGAACGCAGCTTTTGGGAATAATTCATAAGAAGAAAGCTAATCAAATGAGCATAGCAGGCAGCCGGGCTAAAATTAAAACCAACGGAACTAATCGTGTTTATTCTATATTCTTTCGCATCACAGACGGCACAAAGTTATTACAGGTGGCTCCCGAGAAAATTCATTTGGAAATAGAAATTATATAGAATTTTTTTAAATTTTATGATATATAATGAATGAAAACAAACTAGTGAAAACAATAACAGGTGCGACGGTGGTGGTAGGAATTGCGAGTGGAATTGGTTGGCTAAGTAGAAAGGTGCTAAAAGAAAAATTCATAGACGATCCAAGCATTTCTGTAGAGAATTTTGGTAAATGGGTTCTGGTGCTTTCAGGAAGTTTATACGCGAAACAATATTTAGAGGATAATAATATTCTACCCAAGTAATAATTTTTGTATATATATATGGCATCGATAGCGATAATGATAGGCGGGGCGATTTTGAATGCAACAGCCTTTACAGGTTCAATGTA